GGGTAGTAGGGGATCCAAAAGATGGACAAACAAGGAAGGACGTGGATCCCCGAGCACCGTATGAAGCGAATACCACCTGAATGGGAACCCTTACACGGACGGCGGTTGATACATACCACCCCTGATGTATCTGATGTTGCCATGTTCTCTACATTTTGTTTAGGTATCAAAAGTTTCCGGCATGTCCTACCCAGTTCTTGTTTTCTTCCATGGTGGTAACTTCCAAACTGGGTCCGCCAACGACTGGCCAGCTCATGGTTTGGCATCGCGTGGCATTGTGGTTGTAACTGTAAACTATCGTCTGGGTGCATTAGGTAAGTTTTTGTCAGTTTTCAAGTCTTCGTTTTGCTAGACCCATTCTGCGCTAGATAGGGTCACAAAAATGGGGACGAAAGTATCGAGCACACCTTACCCCCGCAGTATTCGTTGATATATGTGGTCATTTAATGTGCTGACATTACATTCTTCTTACAATTTTGATAAGTTGCATGAATCTGATAGTGGAACTTTTAGGATTTATGAGTCTTGGTGATTCTACAACTGGAAATTTTGGTCTGATGGACCAGCGACTTGCGCTGCAGTTTGTACGTGATCACATCTCATCCTTTGGTGGCGATCCTCAAGCAGTCACGGTAGCAGGGCATGATGCTGGAGCTGTGTCGGTTGGAATGCACATGCTGTCACCACTTTCAAAAAGTTAGTTTTTTTGCGCTTTCGATTTGCTTCGCTATCAGAAGTCCATTTCTCAGGCCTTTTTCGATCCGCAGCGATGATGTCCGGCTCCGAAGTTTCGTATCATTCTTACATCGGCAAACCCGCGCTGGCCTTCAACAATACAATCAAGTTAGGCAGGTATCTGGGATGTACACAGTCGATTGCCTACGATGTTTGGAATTGCATTCTTACTCGATCTACGAATGATATCGTGCGAGCTACGACCGATATTCCCATAGAGTAAGTCAACAGTCTTCATATAATCTTCTTTTTGTAAAGTTTTTTTTCTTAGGTTCAACCGTTACCTTTTCCTCCCTACCATAGATGGTATGAATATTCCTGGTAATCCTCTATGGATTTTGAACAACGCACCGACAGGATTGGCAGCTATTCCTAGTGCTGTTCCATTACTCATTGGAATGAATGCCCAGGACGGAACGGAGGTAAATTGAATTGAAGACGTATTGGACAGCATGAAGCCTTTTTTTTTCGTAGTTTTTATCAGGACTTAGATTCACAAAACTGGTTAAAGGCAGTGTCCGCGCAGATTTGAAGCTCCTCAGTCCCAACAGTTTACTGAAGCGGGCTTCTCA